TTAATTCAGATAATAAATGTTATGAAAGCATCTAAAACTAGTGCTTATGATAAATAATATTACTCTTCTAAACTTCCTTCTCTCATCTCCCAACCCTGCCTTCTGTTCTGACCCTTTTTCATCCACTCAGGAGGCCTGGAAAGAGCACAGGCTGTGAGTCATACCCAAGTGTGCAAATTAGTGAAACACATGTTAGTGTTGTCATTCCTTTAGTCAGTGTTAAAAGCAGGTTGTTCTTTCCATGTTCAGGATAACATAATCTTATTACAGACAACACTAGGAAAGTGCCTGTAAGATAATCCCAAGATTTATTATACAGATTCTCACCTGCATACATGCAAACAATTACTAGACAAGAATTTATTGAACAGAGGCAGCACTGGAAAGAATTTGGTGAGTGAAAAAGCAACAGTTTCTGCCCTCATGGGCCTTATACTCTGGTTAGGAAGATAGATACTAAGCAAACATTCAGAGACATATTAGAAAATCCAATAATTTTTATCATTTGGAGATGGAGTTAGTGAGAAAGTCAGTGACGAGCCAATTAACCATTACTACATAGTAAGATACCTCATGGAATTTCTTAGACAGCAGATGCCATGAGACTGGTGATCTGATTTTTTGTCAGAACTTGGCCATTCAGGGTATCTTGTGCCCCCCCAGACAGCTAAATAGAAAGTGAACAATAGCACTTCAGACTTGATAGTCTCCTCTTTCATGTTTCAAATAAATATTTTTCTCCTAATTTAACAATGCTGACACTAAAGTTGCTTTCTTAATACAAACTATTTGTTGTAACTTTCTTAGCCACCATGTTATCTGATCTTTTGGTTACTATGGTGATAGTTGCATGTAGGCAGCCCAGCAGTAGTTACTAGCTTTTCTTTTGTTGAATGGCAATAAAAAGAGGAAAGAAGTAGTTTGTGATTCCTTCAAACAATGCAATTTGTTTTGTTTCTACTAGACTCTATGGTACATGGCTTCTTTTCCAAAGTTTAGTCCAAGATTTCAAATCATTTTTCCTAACAGAATACCAAAGAATTGAAGTTACTCATGCACTCAGAAGGAAACAGAAGACAATTTCTCCATTTCACTTACTTTCTGTAGTCATTATAGCATATACTGAGCTGGGCACAGTTTTTCGATTCCATTTGCATTTCCTCTTGGAGAGAAAGTGATATTAACAGCATTAAAGTAGGCTGTACTTCTTAGGCATTAGTGTAAGAGCCATAGGGAATACTTTTTCAGACTTAGCCATCTGCTCCCTCACAGCTGATGGGAAAAAAAAATCTCTTAAAAATAATTCATTTGCAAAGCACAGCAAAAAATGTGTGTGTGTGTGTGTGTGTGTGTGTGTGTGTGTGTGTGAGAGAGAGAGAGAGAGAGAGAGAGAGAGCACACAGCCTTATTTCATAAGGAACAACTATGAGCCCATAAAAATTCAGGTAATTTTCTAATCAGGTGTTATCCAGGTAGCCTACTTTGTTTCCTACTTTATTTCCTTGAGTATGTCTTACAAAATGTTTTCTATGATTGAGATGATATAAAGGCTTTGAAAGAAAGTGTAATTTACATATTTCACTTTGTGAAATTGCTTTGTAACTTATGTATGAGAAGGCATTACTTCAATAAGCATTTACTAAAATCTGAACTCTATTTTACAAAGTAAACCAGAATCCATTTTCCCTGCTCATTTTCCTCAACGCCCATTTCTAACTAATTAGTTGCTTTGACTCTGTTCAAAGCTTACCTCTGCTGAGACACTTGTCTGCTAGGACTGTTTATGCACTGTTATAGTGTGGGTGCCCCCCAATTATCTCATCCTATTCTTTGCATTTTGATTGCCTTAAGGGGGATGTGGGAAACAGAAGATGTGAGTGATTGCATCTTCTGTGCTGGTCTACTGCATAAAGTCTCATCTACTCTCACCACAATCCTGTGAAGTAATCTCCATCTTGCAGAAGAGAAAAATAATGTGGTTTTAAAGCATGCTCATGTGGCTGACAGTGGCAAGAAGCATGATTCAGGTCCTGCTCTGACTGGCTCTCAAACCCCATTCATCCACTCCACTGCACTGTGTCTACCAGCTAACAGATGAATTTCATTCTCTCACAGGGCTGGTGGATAAGTGGTCCTTCCCCACCTCCCCCAAATGATATAGGGTCTAGATACCAAACTTCAAAATGGACAGACTATATTTTCCCCTAAATGTTCAAAATAGAAATCTTAAGGACCTATAACTTGGGGATTAGGTTATGTCCTGATACTTCATCCTGATTTTCCATCTATTTTTGGTTACTCTCTTCAGAATAGTCAATTGTCTTTTTATAGCCAGTGAAGAAAAGCATGTCCCTTTATGTTACTGCATTTTTGTGCAAAAAGTATGAAAATTAAATACACTAAGAATATTCAAAACAAATTTTTTTTAATCAGTGATTTAGTAAATAATACAGGGTAGCCAGAAGAGAAATTTGGTAAATTATTCTTTGATAGTAATCATGGCTTTGGTATGATTGATCTTTGGATAATTAATACTTTCCTACAAACCTCAGTGTGGATCTGAAACACGGTAGTTTACCATTAAGTTACTCAGGCTAAAAATATTCAAACATAAAATGTATCTTCCTGTATTGCTTATATAAAAACTATATATACTCTCACTTACTTTATTTCAAGCTCTTTTGAAAAGTGAATAAATAATGATTTTTTGAGCAACTCTCTATAAAGAAAAGTCTCATTACTTCCAGTAAAACTTGACAAACATGTTATTATTTACTGAAAAATAATAATAAATTCAATACAACTTAACCAATATGATATGCCATCACTTACTTATAGATATATAATGACTTCTGAAGGCAAGTCAGATATACCAAGAAAGTCTTTGGTAAAGACTGATGTGAAAGTCCTTAGTAAAGACTAATAACGCTGAGTCTAGACTTTAATGATTTTTTTCATACAGAAATTTTGACATGATTTGGCTGAGAATAAAAAAAAAAGCAATAGGGTTTCAAGATGCCTGTCCTACTTGTAACATCAAAAGGCAATTAATTCCATATGTAACTCTTGCTATTTTCCAGCACCTAGTACAGTGTTGTACAAACAATGGTTACTGAGTGAGAACTTGCTGCTGAATGCATGATTTTCTAAGGAATAGTATTCTAAAGAATATAATGAATCTACTAAAGATTCAACATCAGGATCTTGTTTCTCACTTAGGCTCTTTGTACTTTGATTTGTGACATCTATGAGAAAAGAAGTATTGAAAATTCAAAACTGTATTTTTTTTCTCATGTTTTCTTAATTATGCCTCTGTAAATCCAAAGAATTAAATAAGTAAGTGTTTAGTGCCATGTAGAATGATAGCTTCTTTCTAAGGTTGTGGAAAACACTCTAACCCTGCAGCTGTCAGCTGCAGCTAGCTACCTGTGGAGACTGTCCTCTGATTAGGGAGACTTTGGCCCATTCTCCCTTTTGTGCACAGGCCACTTATCCTGGGGGTTAAAAGCCTCTTTGACTTCTGAAGAGCAAGCACAGTAACATTTTATACACACTTGAGTCCTTTAGGAAGGGCAGGCACAGATCATGTGGGAATGAATGTCATTGCCCACATCCGGCAACTGTGTAGCCACTACCAAGCCCATCACTTCAGGAGCAGAGCTTGGAGGTCCTCAGGGTTTAATATGACAGCAGTAATTCCTTTCCTTGCCCAGGGATTCAGTTCTTGCCCCAACCCCATGCTCAGTCCTTTTGTACATTACCTGTCAATTTCATCCTTACTAAGGTGAACTTACCCCTTAGTTTGTCTAGGACAGTCCATTTTATGCATATTGTTCAGGTGTAATTAGTGATAGAGCCCCTTTCTACTTCTCACTTCTCACCCAGTTAAATGAAAAATTACATGGAATTCTACCTTAGCACCTATTAAATACAACTCTCAGGACTTACTTTGACCAACTATTATCTTTAAATCTAAGGTACACCATGATATTTATGTAACTCTTCTTCTTTCTCCCTTTCCTCTTCCTGTTGCTACAAATGCCATCCTTTTTTTAGACTTTACCCTTTAATTTTACCTGTATTGTTTTGTTTTTCTCTAAGTCTGACAGTACTTTCTAGCAACAATATTTGGTGAAAACTATTAAGGTACTTTGTATAGCTCTAATAGTCACATTATTAGTAGGCTTTTAGGAATTCAGGACTTGCATTTAATAAAATGTCATTCTGCAAAGACTAAGTTATAAACAGTGGTGAGAGATGCACTTTAACTAGATGTATTCTAAATGGGTTTATGGATAAGTAAGACAATGATTATTTTCAATGTTCTTCTATAATAATTCAACCACAGTATATAATGTCCAGGTTCTGCTTTGTATTCTTTCTTTCTTTCTTTCTTTCTTTCTCTTTCTTTCTTTCTTCCTTCCTTCCTTCCTTCCTTCCTTCCTTCCTTCCTTCCTTCCTTCCTTCCTTCCTTCCTTCCTTCCTTCCTTCCTTCCTTTCTTTCTATCTATCTATCTATCTATCTATCTATCTATCTATCTATCTATATTTATCTATCCATCCATTATAACTACTTTAAGCAGGGCCAGGCTTCTGCAAAAATTTAAAGCCAAAAATGTTGGTTTTCAGCATCTGTGCTTCCAAAGACTATGATGTAGCCCCCTTTGAGGTCACATGAATTTCAACAGAGTACCTTTGACAGAATGCCTTAACCTAAATGGGATGTGTCCACTTGAAAGAATTCAAGGACCTTGGGTGTCATGTGGGCAGAGGATAAAGGGGACTTTGGTACCCTTACAAGTAGCTTCTTGCCTTACAAATTTATCAGATTGTCCCTAGCCCTCAGTATCACACCACTCCAAAACTGCACTTAATTTGATGGTTTCATTGAGCAAATTTGTGTTGAACAATTTTTTTAAAATCACTGGCCCTGAGACATATCTTCTTCAAGTCCTACTTTCCTGTTAGTAAACAAGTTTTCACTGATGTAGATATATTCTTCATACCTTTTTATAGACTTGTGTGCTGACAATATCATTCATAGTCTCCTAAAAGCAAAGAGAGGTCTAAAAGAGTTAGTAGATGACAGTTTAAACTCATCAGTTTCTCTTTCCTCAGACTTTCAATTCAGGATACAAAACAACTGAGTGACTTGCAAGGCATGCATGAAATGGGAACATCTAAAAAATTCAAGTTAGAGAAAACTTACCACTATCATTTTTCCATGTCCGATTTGTCTTTTCATTGTTGTCTCCTTGCCAAGCCATTTTTGGACATGAATCATTGAGTCACCATCGAATGTTATGATGCTCCATGAATTCATAAAGGAATCAGTTAGAAACAGCAATTAACTATATTCCAATCTACACCAGACTAGAAGTCTATTTTTTAATTTCTATTTTGAAATTTTTTTCCCAAAATCCTCACCTCCATTCTTATCATAATTTATACCATCAAACTAAAGAAGTCTCAAGAGGTTTTTCAATTAATGCTCTCCTTCTCCAGGCAAATAATACCTAAACTACATATGAATAATTGTTCTCTTCCATATACTCTTTTATACAGTGACAAAGAGACATCAGAGAAAAAGTGGAAACATTGGATTTTTTGGCTCTGTCAGCCATCAGAAAAATTTATTTCTATTTTAAAATTTATTTTTATTTTTAATTTAAGTATAGTTGTCATGTGTTAGTTTCAGGTATACAGCATAGTGATCCAACATTTATATACACTGTGAAATGCTTACCCCAATAAGTGTAGTTACCATCTATCACCATACAAAGTTATCTGCAATAGTAATTAACAAAACAAGCCCAAGCTGATTTGGTAATTTATCAAAATAGGTGTGAGTAAACGATGCCTATCACCTTCTGGGTTTTTTCTTGATTGTAAAACACCAGGAAGTCTTAGTTTTTACCTTCACTTTCAGGTTATCTGCTGTGGTTTATCAAATTCTTCCCCCAGCTTAAAGAAGATCTCAGTGTTCTTCAAACTGTCTATTTTGAAGTTCACCTCATCCCAGACAGCACTAATACTGCTTCTCGGTTTTGCTAACCCTGCCAAGTTTCGAGTTGTGTAATTCACTCCTCTGGGCACAGAAATTGACTTTTAGGAAGAAGTGCTAACAATTATTTTGGAAATAAAGTTGAAAAGAACACATACTTCCCCGTTCAAATTTTGGATAATGTGCCTTAATTTCTTCAACACTATGATAACTGGACTGAGACAGACTCTCCCAAATCAGAAGGTATGTCTAGTACCCGTACTTGACACTTGAAAAGCTAAATTCACTTTCTAAGACTATTCTGCTTCATCTAAAGTTATTAAGACTTTCATGCTTCATCTAAAACATATATTCGTATGTTGCTTTTCAGGTGATCAGGTGCTTGTGCTTTACCTTATGGAGTGTCACAACAGGGCAAAGAGCATTGTTATCCTCGTTTTACAGACGAGAACATGTCCCAGACAGACAGAGCACTTCCTCTAGATGATGTCTCTGGTAAGTAGCAGAGATGAGACTTAAACACAAATTTTCTAATTGTACAAGAATTTTAGCACACTTTTTTTTCTTAGAAAAAATAAGAAATACAATTTTCAAAGTACTTAAACTGCTCTAAAAAATATGACTTATAAATCTAAGCCCCTCTCTTATTTGTAAATTAAATTCAGATCTGCTGAGTAAAGAGGAAGTAGGCAAACTGGATTTGGCTTAGAGCCTGTCCCCATTTTTCAGGCTGGGGATTGACCATTGTCAAACCTGACTTCTTGCAATAAGTAGGTGGGCAGAAGAACTGACTGCTGTCTCTCAGTATCCCTATAGAATTCAGTTTCTCATTCAGATTGTGGAACTGACAGGACACTTCTGGCTACAGAGAAGCAGTAGAATGAAAAGTGAGGTGGCTCCGACTTTGCTACTTCCTAGCTGGGACATGTTATTTCCCTTCTTTGACTTTCAGTTTTTTCAATACTAAAATGTGGCTAACTAAGTACTTATCTCATAGGTATGTTGGGATATTAAATAAAAAGACAGTGCAGTAGTGACACATAGTAGGTCTTCACTTGTTATTCCTTCTTGATCTCTGCTTAAGTCCAGCTCCCAAACAAGTGTTATTCTTGCCCAAGTTTCTTAGATGTCCCCAAAATTAAACTCAAAATAGGGAGTCTGTGAATCCATGAAGAATAGAGGAACCTATTTCTTATTACTCTCTGGGAAAGTTAATACTCAGTATGAAAAATGGGCAAATATCACATTATAAGCACACTGAGTTATGCATTGATCACTTCAGCCAGGTTAAAAAAAAAAGGTAAAATTTTAAAAATTCTTAATTTTATAAACAGTTTATAATTGCAAGGGCTGTTTCTCTTAAATATTTAAAATTACTGAATTAAATAATTACTGTTCTTCTAGCACTAGTAAAGAATGGTTTAATTGTTATAGACCTGAGCCATTCTATTTGTTTTTTCAATTTGAGTAAAAATGACAGGATGAATAGGGTTTAGACTTCTGAGAAATAGCCAATGGCAAGGCATTCAATGAACAAAAATTTTCTATTTCTCCAATAAAAAGTTTGAAATTCTTCAAAATAACATTTCAAGAATATCTTCCACATGTATTAGAATGCTAAAAATTCACCAACTAGAAATATTGTTTGTTGCTATTACTCTGTATTACTTAAAGCAAATCTTGAAACAAATTTAGCTGATAAATTCAATTATAGACAGTTACTATTGTCTATAAATTTGAAGCTGGGAAAAGCTATTTGATAAAATGACCAAGCTAATGAGAAACTGAATCAAGGCATTACGATGCAGTATTTTCAAGAAGGATAAAAGGGCTTCTATATATGGATAATGACTAGAAGGAAGTATCTGTTCACCTAGTCTTCCAAAATGAGACAATTACTACTAGAAATTAGAAAAAAATTAATAGTAGATACATATACTTTTTTAAGTTCATATGAATATACCCTAGGATCACAGAAAGAGAAAATTGTAGGAAAATTCATTGACAGTGCAAACCCAACCACTTCACAAAATGTGTGGCCAGGTTCGAAATCTTGTGATGTCATTTCTCACCCAGTTGTTTCAGGTATTCATCAAAGTTTTCACTGGAGACCATCTTCCAGGTTCCCAAGAAGGACTCAATCATGACGCAAAGCTTGCGGAGAAGAGGCACTCACGGCGGAAGGCCGAAGAACCATAGACAGTACAGCGCTACCGGTGTCTTAATTTAAAAGCTGTCTTTATCATGTGACTCTTCTGAAACAGCCAATGGGCAGCAGCAAGTCCAGAGATTCTAGGCACCAGCACTGAATCATCTTATTTACCTCCAAATTAAGAAATAGAAAATCAACATCTAAAGTTGAATTTAAGTCAATTATTATAGTTTCTAGCCAAGAAATTTACACCCCAAGAGTCACCTGATAAACATTACTTGTGAAATGTGGAAAGAAGATAATTTTCAGTAAATATCAGACTTTTGAACTATGAATGCGGAATCATCAAATATCCCAACAAATGTCTGATGAATACCTTACTGGGCTGTTTTCCCACTTGATACAAGGACATCCTTGCCTGGTCCACCTCAGCTGTTTTTCTATTTGAACAAGTCACAGTGCCACAGTACCCTCTTCATTAAAATACCTCCCCCTCTCTTCCTTGCAGTGTTGATGAATTGATATTAGTTAGTGTAACTGAAATGTCTACAGTTGCTTAGCAAGAGGTGTAGAGTATTATTAATATCATCATTGTTGATCAAGTAATTGCAAACTGGGAAGAAAGGTAATAATTATAATTGAATAGTGTTTTGTACTTGAAGCCCTAAAAAGCACATGGAGCTAATGTTTGGAAAATTCATCTTTTAGACTTGCAAACTAATCCCGATATTAAAATACCACTTGATATCATGAGGGGAAATTTTAGGGATAAATATGTTATTTTGATATTTACATTAAAAAGAAAGACAAAGGCATCAGATAATTATATCTCTCTGTGCAATTGCTCCTGAACCCCAAAAATCTCCTGCAACCCAAGCAATTGGGACTTTGCACACAGTGAACTTACTAAGAAGGATTAGAGTCATAAGCCGTAGATTTATATCACAGCTTTGAACCCCAGCTGTTTTGAAAAAGGTGGAAAATTTTTAGAGTACTAAGCACCAGAAGAAGAATACCACCCTACTATCTGCCTGTGTCAACTATTCCTTCAATTCAAACAAATATTTACTCATACCATCTCTTTGTAGAAAAAGCAAAATTTTTATGAAATTTTTAATGTTTTGTTACCACAAAGTTATAACTTAAGTGGTATAAAGGATTTCTTCTGATGAAACATATAAAGAAAAAATTTATAATGCAATAACTTTATAAGTAGAATAGTTATTAAAATATCTGATGGAGAAACAGGGGAAGCAAAAATCCTGGAGTCAGTTTTAGTAAATTGAGACGTGTGCTCAAAATGAGGGCCTTAGCATTTGAAAGTGCCCTCAGAGGTGATCAAATCAAGAGCAAGGGACTAGATCTTGCTTTACTGTTCTGGATGTGTTTGAACTCTGCTTGAAAGCAAGCATACATGGCTCTGCTGTTTGCCGGTGGGGTACCATGACAAAGGTCTCCCATCAGTGCAGCCATCCTTGTTACAATTCCCTTGCCATTGACTGACTCAGAAATCAATCCTGTGACTCATTTTAGAACTTGGTTGGCCTGTGAGATGAAAGGAAAAGTCAAGTTTCTGGCTTCAAAAAAATGTCCTACCCCTAAAACAGAGCAGAAGGATGGTCTCTCTTCTCTGCACATTTTGCTTTCTTGTATGACATTTAGAACTGCTGCATCCATCATGCTATCAACTCAGAGATGAAGTCAAAACTGAGCATGGCAGAGTGGATGGGGAGAAAATAAAAGGCCACTTTATTTTTAGAATTTTTATTATGTGAATTAATAAATTCCATATTTTTAAAATAACTGCCTGTCTGAGTTTTTGTTACTTGCAGATTAAGCCTGTGTAACTGATATACATGCCTTTGTAAACAGCCTCACCAAATGATTAACTTGCACTCCGAACAACCAATTACATGTGTCCTATGATACTGGCCTCATGCGAGCAACTCCCGTCTTTCCAGTACCACTCACATCTCTGTGAAACTGGTTCAGAGGTGATTGATCCCAAATATACTTTAATAGAAGTGTATTAGAGAACTTTTCTTATGCTATTGCAACCAGTTATCCTCCACCTAGCTGTCACTGAGCTATTTTATGAGTGTATCAAACAAAGGAAATTTTTCCTACTCACTTCTGTGTCCCTATGACAGTAACTGGTATATGATAGGTACTTAATAAATGTTTTACGAATGAATGACAGAAGGAATAAATAGTGCTTATTTCTTTTTAACTGATGGTTTCTCTCATTATTTATCTTAATCTAACAGTGACTAAAGACAAGGTTTTAATACGTTGTTCTCTTCTGACCCGCTCATATGATAGGCTTTCCAGTATGGTCTTTGGACGGTAGAGAGATTCTCAGACTCCCTTCATCTTAACTCAAGGCTTCATTATCACCATGCAAGTCTCCCTTCTCAACCAAGAAAGTTCTCTGCTTGGCCTGTCGCTACCACCAACAAACAACCTTTGGCACTTTTGCTTGATTATTTTGGAAAAGTACCATTTCTTCAAGTTAAAATTTGTAAAGTTAGAATGTTCTTTATTGTTAATTCTAATAAAGGAACTACAATACAGTGATTTATTATACAATAGTCAGATGTCTTTTTTTATGACAGTTTCAATGCTTATTTCTCTATTATCTCATTCTTATATGCTTCCCCAATATAACATTTTCTATATTATCTTTCTTTCCTGCACCATTATAGATATTAAGTAGTTTTTAATAAAATTTAATTTTGAAATGCTACATTCTCCATTGGTGAGGGATACAGGTAAAGAATGATGTATACTGTAAGCTACAAAAGTATTCAAAAATGTGTCTGATAATTTCTTGCTGTACATGTAATATTTCAGCTGGAGCCACACTAGATTTTTTTTCTAATAGTCTATTGTGGTAAAATACACATAACATAAAATTAACTATCAAGCATTTTTAAGTGTACAGATCAGTGGTGTTAAATAAATTCTTATGGTTGTACAACCATCACCACCATCTATCTCTGGAACACTTTTAATCTTGCTAAACTGAAACTCTATGCCCATTAAACAGTAACTCTACCCCATACCCCCTCATCCCTGAAGCCCTGGAAACCACCTAACACTTTGTCTCCTTGATCTTCTGATTTTTTTTTTGCTACTGTCAGAACCTCATTTAAGTGGACTCATACACTGTGTGTGTGTTATTGTTGTTATTGTGACTGGCTTATTTTACTTAGCATGAAGTCCTCAAGGTCCAAGCATATGTCAGAATTTCCTTTCTTTTTCATGTGTAATACCACCCTTTACCCGTTGATGGACACTTGGATTGCTTCTTCTTTTTCAGCTATTAGGAATAACACTGGTTTGAGCATGGGTGTACAAGTATCTCTTTGAGACCCTACTTTCAAGTTTTTGGGTATATACTCAGATGTAGAATTGCTAGATTACATTGTAATTTCATTTTTAATTTTTGGAAGATTTTGCTGCCATACTGTTTTCCTCAGCAGCTGTATCATTTACGGTCCCACCCATGATACAAAAGAGTTCCAGTTTCTCCATATCCTGACCACACATTATTTTCTGTTTTTTTTAAATAATAACCATCTTCATGGATGTGACTTTACATTTCATTGTAATTTTTATTTGCATAATCCCTAGTGATTAGTGATATTGAAGAACTTTTCATGTGCTTACTGAACATTGTGTATCTCATTTGGAAAACTGTATTTAAGTGCTTTCCTCATTTTTCAATCAGATTATTTGCTTTTGGTTGTCATTGAGTTTTAGGAGCTCACTATTCTGGATATTAATCCTCTATCAGACTCTTCTGGATATTAATCCTCTATCAGATGTATGATTTGCAAATATTTTCTTCTATTCTGTGGATTGCTATTTTACTCTGTTACATGTAAGTTTCCTGCTCTAGAGTCAGTGACAACCTAGTGAATGGGGAAGAGCAATGATGTTGTGACAATACTGTTATAGTAAGAAGACACACATTTTTCTATGATTATGAGGAGGAAAGGTTTAACCCATCCTAGATCCTGGTGGTGAGAGATGAGATGAGGAGGAGAAACTATCAGGACAATTTTTGTAGCTGATTAGATGGTGTTCACACTATTTCTCTATTACACTGCAGGCATGAACATGAGTCATCATTTTTTTGTGTATTCTGTACCTTACCTGGAACAGAAGAGTTCAGTCACTCATTCAATTAGTGTTCATTAATCTCTGCCTCTCTTGATGACTGTGCCAGGGTCTGGGGTCCCAGCTGACACAATCTTTGCCTTTGAAGTGCTCTCAGTAGCTGACTTCTCTTTTTCTTATTGCTTACCATTTTTCTACTTGTTTGACTACATATGTTATTTTGTCCATTCTGGGTTGAGAAGGGCTGGTGTATGAGTGGATGGATGGATCTGTAATTGTCAAAGGTCAAAATTGTGTTTTCTGTACCTACTGATCAGAGTGCTATTCACTGATAAGCTATCCAAGTGCTGTGCCTCTGTCCCTCACCCAGCCATTTCTTGCACCCATTGATCCTGCTTAGGAGTGCTATGCACACACTGCTCAGAAGCTAGACCCCAAAGATGGAAAACATCACCATCTAAAGGCCATCTTGGAGGCTTACATATTCTAAGACAAGAATTCCCAATCTATTTTCCTTCACTAAAGCAACACTCCCGAGGGATAACCTTTGCAGGTGCCTCACAAACTCGAGTAATTCTCATGTACAAGTGGTAGCTCAACTCTTTTCTCTCCCATGCAAGAAGGTAAATAAGACAGCAAGTTTGTGAAAAACATTACTTTACAGGATAATGCTGAATTTGAGCAATTTATTTTTAAAAATAAAATAATTCACAAACTTTTGGTATTTTATTATCAGTAGTAACTTACTATGCCACACCATACCATGGTTCATAGCACAATAATGCTTGGGTGAAAACCACTATTCAAAGCAAGAGGCTAGATCACCTGCTCAAAACAGATGCATAATTTTCAAGTAAAAATTGAAGTCAGTAATGCTTTGGGCATTGGAAGAAGTATTTCTAAACCAGAAATTGTAGCTCAGTGATAGTTGCGGTGGGAATTGGAAAAAAGAAAGGATATGTTGGTTCATCCTGTCATCTGATTCTCACTGTTTCCAAAGAGAAAGTGAGTGACTTTTTGAACAATTAATATTTGCTTCAAGATAAAAATGGACCCTATACCCACACATCTGTCTTTCTGAGAAGTATCTGCTTGATCCTGTCTCTCTTCCTTTCAAGTAGAATCTCCTTTATACTTCTGTCTGTGTGTTGGTAGAAGCAATGTCAGACAATGGAAAATTATATGAACTTCAAAGAGGTTTCAGGCAAGATAAGCTGATACTTGAAGATATCTCTTGTATCTATGGCCTTAGTTTTATGATGAAAATATAGAAACAAGAAATTGACTACCTAGCAAATTTGCATTATACTGAATCTTCTTACTCTATGCTTCTACATCAACTGAAAAGTAAGAGCTAAACTTCAGGAGCACATTTTTAAAAATAACTAAATATGCAAATACACATACATGGAAGTGTCACTAATGCAACTTTGTAAAGGATTAGCACAGACACATTAAAGGTTGGGGAAGGCTGAGGAAGAAGGGAGTAGAGAGTTCTAGAAAGGAAGATGCAGAATATGAAAAAAGAAAAATAAAATAAAAAGCCCCCAAACAAAAAAACAGAGGCAATAAAAAGTATGAAAATTGGTATGAATGAAACAAGGAGTGTGAAGAGAACAAGAGCAATGATAAAACTGAGTGAGATAAGACAAGTCAAGCGTAAGACAAGTGTACATGCCACACAATGGGGACTGGCCTTCAATGAGAGCTGCTTAAAGGCTTTAATCAGCGAGTGTCCAGGCCAGATTTTCATTGTGTGAATGCCATTTATGAAGTCTACAGGGGTTGGTAAAGAGAGAAGAGGAGAGAAAATGAAAGTGGGAGATTTATTAAAACCTTAAAGTAATTTTTAAAACAAGTTATGGTGGTATTGGCAATGGGAATGAGAAAAGCAAACATTATAGCCATTTTAATTTAATAGAATCAAGACGATTAAAAAATAAATAAAATAGATGTTGTGGAGTAAGGAAGAAGGCATATTCAAGGATGAGTTTAAGATTTATGGAATGGGCAATTAACATAAACATTCTGAAATTCACTGAGATGTGGAAAATAGGATAAAGAGCAAGTGTATGGGAGTGTGTGCAAGGGGAAGTGATGGTAAGTTCAGTGCAGAGTATGTCAAATTGAGTTGCCTGGGACCTCCTCTTCAACATCTTCAACTCTTTTATTTTCTAACTCTCTCTTCTCCTTGGATGATTTCATCACCGTTTACAAGCTAAGTTATCACTTGGATACTGATGGCTCCTAGATCTATATCCCAGCCAGGATTGCTCCCCTGAATTTCAGGTTCCTGTATCTACTCCCTACTTAGCTTTATAAACTCTGAATCCCAGTTTTCTCATCTGTTAACAGGCATACTAAATCTTCCTCATATTATTCTGATGGTAAGTGAACTAAAGTACCTGGCTCTGTAATGCTGAATAAATACTGGTTTACCAAGAATTGTCCTAATCTTGTCCTTTTGAGTTCTCCAATTCTCCAGTGAGACCAAAGTGAGAGTCTCACTTTCTCTTTTTGCAAAGAAAGCAAATTCTTATGATCAGGAACTTAGCCCTGATCTCTTTCAGCATTTCCATATCTTGGTATTATTCATAGGATAGGAATTCAGAAAATAATGGACTTATTTTTAAAGGAAGCATCACAAACAGAATTTTATCAACTGCAACACACACTTTAACAGATTTTGGCTTACTATAAAGTGTAAGCTTGTGGTTTGGAACTTTCAATCTGTGTGCATGGAACTCCAATGATGTAAAGCAGAGTTTCAAAGTTTCCACAAAGCACAGAAAATACAACTCTCATACACGCAGGTGCAAACACACACACACACTTACCTGGAAAACCTCTTTATCATTTATGTCCCATGGAGATTTTATGATTCCACGCAGATTTTATTTGAGTAAAATGTTCCAAGACATATTCAATATTTTATTTGAATTGAAAGTTCAATTGGTAAGGGAAAGAATATTTCAGAAACCAGTGTAAAGACATTTGCATTATGACTCATTCCAAAGTTTTCACCTCATTTCTGGAGTGAATATTATGGGATTATTTGCACTTAATTCTTGAGAGATTCCAGGGAGAGCTTGTTTTACCAAAACTTGTCCAGGTTAAAAATTATAGCTTAGAAATCTTTTCCTACAACATTTCTTGCTACTTCTCTCTCTCCTTCTTTCTCTCTCTCTCAGTGCTCTAGGACAGGTAGGTGTGAAATGACAGCACTTGGGCCAGCTGGCTGTGGACAATTTCACTCTATTTAAAACTACCTCGGGTCTCTGAGAATTACTTGACTGCAGACATGCTAAAGAAGGATTTCATACTCAGCAATAGCAAAATTTGTCATCTTCTACATAAGACAATGGAAAATTCATGAATATTTCTTTTTACCTTGGATTATTATGAAAAAATCATATAACATACCAGAAACAGAGAAAAATAGAATTTTCTATTTCCTTCACTGAATTATGAGTAAAATTATTTAGTATAATGAATAAATCATCACAGCACCTTCTAAATCTAAAAAGTTTTATTTAACCAACACAACCACATTGAATAAACTCTGTTCAGTAGGCAATCAGTTTTTTGCAAATTAGTAGAAAATAACAACACATGTTTGACCAATATATCCAAAAGAATGTCTTAGAGTTCGATGCAAACTTCAGTCCAGCTCAATGTCTCTTGGCTTATGCCCTCTCATAAACTCTGGTGGAAGTGACTCCTTTCACGGTACATTCCTAAATACACAAAAAAAATTCTTGTTCAGTCATGGGACTAAACCAAGAATTTATTTGTCTCCTTCAGTGTTGGGAGGGAAAAAATAGTCATTTGAAAGACATTTTCTCTGGGCTTCTACATACACCTGATATTGTAATAAGTTAGGGAGATAAAAAGACCGAGAAGATTCAAGTCTTCCCCTCAAGGAACCTTACAATGTATATGATGAATGAGAAATATAAGCAAAAATATAATATGACACGTGCTTAGGGGTCAGGAAATACTCCCTGGGAACAATATGCCTGGGCTGAGCTTAAAAGCATGAAGGGCATTTGCTAGAGTGAAACCATATTCCCAACACAATCACCTTTTTAATTTACATACACAGGGGTGACTACCTGTTTCTTTAGATAGAATGATTATAAAATGAACTAGCAGTAGAATCTAGAATAAATAGCTTGAAGTCACTCACCACCACCAGTTTGTCATCCACTCGTTTTCTCTTTATAGTGGTTGATTTTCCATCCCACTTCTGCACCTGTACCAGGGTATCTCCATCTAAGGTTATGATGCTCTGTGGGCATAATAAAAAATGATTGCAATTTGCATATGGTGAAGGAAAAGAGAACAGAAAATACAACACTATTGTTTGAAGGAGTATTTTGAGGTCATTAGTAATTCTAAGTTACTAGAATATATTGCAAGAAAAAAATGAGTGTCAAAAACAACAGCATACAAAATTACATATAAATTATGATTAGAATATTATATAAGCATGTATTTGAAAAAATAATACGAAGGAATATAGATAATAAATTTATGTTGAGATGGTAGTATTATCGGAGATTTTTTGTTTTTTTACTTCCACTCTTTATAAACATTCTCTAACATTGCTGTTACTTTAATTCATTTCAAATACTCTTTATATAGCATGACAAATAAATTACATTAATCATTTTTTTAAATAAGAAAATGTTATATAAAGGGGAAGATTCACCACCTAAATACTGAAGGCAGCATGGTTTAAATCTAGGACATCAGGGATCTTTGGCCTATGATTAAAGTAGTTTTCCTCCTTTTATTACAAAATGGCTTCATGCAGGTAGCAGCCATTTAGAAACCAGGTTTTTACTGCTCCAACTTCTTCTTCCTCACCTTGACTTTCCTGTCATCTGCAGTGACTTCATCAAATTCCTGGTCCAGTTTGAAGGTAATCTCAGTAGTTTTAAAGGTGCTTTCTGATTTAATGGTGATCATATCCCCGTTCCTACTGATGGTCATGTTGGGTTTAGCCATGCCAGCCACTTTCCTTGTGGCAAAGCCCACTCCTACAGTTGAAAAAAATTTTTTTTTAAGTCAGGCTTATAATTTTCTCTCACATCTTTATCTAAATCAGAGCTGTGGTGTGCTATTGCAGCTGCAGGTATATGTAGGTGGGTATGCCTGTGCATGAAGGGATGAAACACCAGTGAGTTTCTCAAAGGTCTTATTTAAACAGCTACTAAAGTAAGTAAAGCAGTTAAATACTAAAAAAAAAATCCATGCGAGGCATAATTAGCTATGGGGTCTGAATTTCCCCTTCTGGGTTTCACATATAACTAACTCAGGAGACTCACTGTTAATTTTTAACAAGGATATATACAAAGATTAAGTCTTCTGGAATATATACATTTTTAAAAAGTAATTTCACCCTCAAATTAATTCAACCATTAGGGTAGCAAATATCATTTTACTCAATTCATTAAACACCTGGAGCACTATGACCTTTCCTTCTTAGATAACAAAAATGATCTTATCCACAATACAGAATTCTCAATAGGATTTTGGGGACCAATAAAGAGTTCCTCAGTTAAAAAAAATTCTGTTTAGGTTTATAAAAATCACATTTCAAGGCCTTTGCTGCCAAGGCTAGTTTCCTTGACTTTCTACATTACTCCACCATGAAATGAAGATTTTGATTAATTTCTCTATAAGGAAAAATGTCTCTTATATTATTTATTAGAATGGTGATATTATACCAAATAAATTATAGAAACTATTAAAAAGGATCTAAACATTAATTCTGATAACTTCAAAATTTAGGAAATCATTGTTTTAATAAGTTCAGAAATCAACACTTTGTTTCCCAATCAACACAGTTGCAAACTCCTCTTCAAAACAGAAAAGAAAAAAGGATTTTTTTTTCTTGTGTAAGGTAAAAGAAGAACAACTTAAAACCTGACGTGGACAGCAGGAACTTGCTGTCACTGTATATTTCATACAGAATCTGTGACAGTCACAGATATGTGAATTGTTTAAATACTTGTACATAAACCTAAGTCATTTCTTTAACTAAAGGCTGCCAAACAATACCAGAAATTAGAAATGGAAAGGTGGGTGAAACAGAAAGAGAATTATTATACAAAACAAGTGATGCCTGTGTGAAAAGTGGGCACAGGTGGAAAGGTAATATGTTGCTTCATCCAGTCCTGGCTCTTTTACAAAATACTTCAAACACATGGAGTGAGTCAGATGCTGAATGGATGCATGATGGAATGTAAATCCAGAATGGCTGATCCTAGGAAAAAATCATGCTCCACTTGGTTAACTCCATCCTTATTTGACTGAGGAAGGCAATACTGCTTATGATCATCAATTAGAGCAGTTAATTTCAGGAGACATCCTATTGTCTTTCATTTTCATCCCACTTTATAATTTTAAAACACAATGGTATAAAAATGTAAATATAAATATTAAAAGTGTAAAATGTTTCTAAAAGTCAATAGCAAAATAGCCTCAAATTCTGGCATTTCTATATCAGCACAGATGAATTAGTTTATTGAATTACAACTAGTTGATATTCTAGAGAGTTAGGTCTCACACTGAAGTCCCTGATTTCTGTCTTGTTTATAAACAAAGAAAATAGTAGTTAAAATGAGCAAAAAATACACCATACGATTTTGGAGAAGGTTAAATCTTGATACTTAAGAGATTAAATCCTAACCCTTGATAAAGATATTGTGTAAAAATCCTTCCTCAATTTACTGTGGATGTGGCTTTATCCTGCAGCGGTGTGTGGGGAGAGGGGCTTTCAAGGTAGAAGCTGCCTGAGTCAGAACCAGCCTCCCTCCCCACTTTGCTTTACCACCATGATTATCTGAGGCATGTTGGCACAACACACCAGCAACATTTGCAGAATCTAATGTTAATCTAACCAAAAACCTGAAAGACTCCATTATTGAAGAAGAGTTATGCTATGTACATTTTAAATTATTTGATAATTCTATGACATCTCATGTAATTCCTTGCCAAAGAAATATTAAAGCTTTTTAAGGAACATGTTTTGTGAAATTAAGATTTTTGTCTCCCATAAAACAACCACACATTTGGATGGATTAACAGTGAGACAATAATTGGTTAACATATATTTACTTTAAAAAGTACATTAAGATGAGAAATACAGTGCTCTTGGTTTCAAGTGAAAAATCATTGCATAGTAAAAAATAAACATGGCTGTATTTCCAACTTACTGCTCATTTTATATGCAAGAAAGAATAAAGAAAAACATGCAGAGAGGCAAGTAGAACAAAGATACCCAAGTTTAGCCACCTAATAAAATCTTGTCGTGTCTATAGAACATAAAAATTCCATTTAGACCCTTTTCATATTGGTTCACCTTTAGGAAGCATTATTTGTGACAGGTCTAGAGTTTCTAGAAACAAGTGATTTTCATTGGATGCTTGTGGTGCCTCTATATAAAAAGCAGCATTTTATATCTATCTGGCCAATACTTTCAGAGTGAAAAACAGCCATAAACCCCTCTTCCTCAGAGAAAAAGTTATAAATCCAGTCACCCCACACCACATTTTCTTACCCACTTCTTTCATGTAATCATCAAAGTTTTCACTGGAGACAAGTTTCCAGGTGCCCAAAAAGGCATCACACATTTTGTGGGCTTCCTAGGGTTTCAAGGTGTGAAAAATGCTGCAGCTTCCAGGAAAGTGCAATGACTTTTGAGTCCAGATAACTTCCTTTTAAAGATGCCCAGAACATGTGATCTTAGGAATAACCAATGGACAATGATATTGGATCATAACCAGCTTCTGCATTTTTCCCTCTGAGTCATGTTTTAATGGAAATTTCTCAACTTTGGTTCTCCCTGGCAAATGGACATTGGACTTAGAGCACAGATTAATTTTAGCCCTCAGAATATTTTAAACGTTCCTGTTTTGACAGTTTTCTGCTCAGTGCATTGAGTTTCCTTCTATTATTCCCATACATATCTATCCCTGTGTAGAGTAAGATAATTATCTTGGGATAAACTTTGACTTCCTTTCCTGGAGTTTCTATTAAAACTACAATTTTACATGATTTTTTGAATTGAGGAACATAAGGATTTACCTTGGAGGTTCTTAAATAAAGAATCTTGCAAAGGCTCTTTGGGACAGTATTGTCTCAGGAAATACCTGACAATTACAACAAAATAAGTAATGGCATTTTAAAGCATGCCAGGTTCTCATTCCAAATGTTTTGCATGAAGGAAAAATAAAAAGCAAATTCAATTATCCACCAGAAATCTGGGCTGTAGATTTAATTAACAAATAATAAATTAGTCTCAGTTTTTCCATCCCTTAAATGAGAGCTTAATGTTGATTCCCACAGACCCCTTAAAAAATAGGTCCCAATCCACAACATATTCCCCATACTGAGGAAATTCACCTAGTTCCTTAACTATAATATGAGTTCTAAGTTTCTTCAGATCTGAAGTGTTGTTTTACTTGGAAATGATTAAAAGTGCTATAGTCACAAGCTATCAAAATATTATTTCCTTCTCTTACATAGTGCATAATTTGCAAGATTAATTTTCCAAAGTAATCAATGTTTTCAGTATCCCCACAGCATACTGCAATGATGGAAGATGTTCACATGTACAACAAACTCCCATGATTTACTCGGATGTTAGGAAAGAAAAAGAGAAATATTTCAGAGTAATGATTCACTACACTATGTAACCCACTAAACAGTATGTGCTGAGCACATGATTGATTCCCACACCCATGTAGATATCCTGAGGGCTTCCCAGAAATGTTTGAAACAGGATTCTGCAAATGACAGAGTTTTCTGTAGACAAGCAAGTTATTACAAAAGCCTGATAGAGTCACGTTACAATAATAATTTTAATTGGTGCCTTTGTTAATGACCTAGTAATAACATCCACTCTGGATTGTTAAATAGATACACAGACTGTGGTGATACTACCCTTCTCAGTAGGCCTACTATTATAAATTCATCTGTTTCCCCATGAACAAGGAAATAAGAGCAATCAATTTCAATATAGGGATAACTTGACAATGTTCGAAATTAATAATGGTTTACTTTGGGGTTTTTTTTCTTAAAGACATTTTTAGAAAAGTTTTAGGTTCACAACAAAAATGATAAGAAAATGCAGAGATTTCTCATGTACCCTCTGCTCCCCACATGTGTTACCCATTACCAAAATCACTCAGCAGAATGATACATTTTTATCAAGGATGAATCCACACTGACACATCATGATCACCCAAAGTCTGTTGTTTACCTTAGAGTTCACACTATTCCTGTGTTTGGACCTGTACAGTGTAATGACCTGTATCCATCATTATATTATCAAGCAGCATTTTCATTGCCCTAAAACCCCTCTGTACTTTGCCTATTCGTCTCCCTCACACGTCCCGATTCTCCCACTAGTGCAACCACTGTTATGTCACTATCTCCATAGTTTTACCTTTTCCACAGTGTCATACAGTTAGAATCATACAGTATGTAACATTTTCAGGTTCATTTCTTTTACTTAGTAATATATGTTTAAGATTCCTACATGTTTTTTCATTAACAGCTCATTTATTTTTATTCCACTGTTCAAAATATTGCACTGTTAGGACATACTACAGTTTTTATCCATTCACTTACTGAAGGACATCTTGGTTGTTATCAAAATTGGCAATTAGGAGTAAGGCTGCTGTAAACATCCATGTGCAGGTTTTTGTGTGAACGTAAGTTTACAACTCCTCTGAGTAAATAGCAAAAAGCATGATAAGGTAATAGTATGTTTAGCTTTATAAGAAACTGTTAATCTGTCTTCCAAAGGGACTGTACCATTTTGCATTACCACCTGCAATGAATGAGCATCCTGTTGCTCCACCTTCTCATCAGCATTTGGTGTTGTCAGTGTTTCAGATTTTGGCCTTTCTAATAGGTGTGCAGTTGCATCTCATTGTTTTAGTTTGCATTTCCTTAATGACTATGATGTGGAACATCTTTTCATACGATTATTTGCCATCTGTACATCTTTCTGGGAAAGGTGAATATAAGTCTTTGGCCCATTTTTTAATTGGGCTGTTTGTTTTCTTGTTCAGTTTTAAGAGTTCTTTGTGTATTTTAAATTAAAGTCTTTTATCAGATGTGACTTTTGCAAATATTTTCTCCTGTCTGTGAATAATGTTTTACTTTTCAAAATATATATTGATGGCTTACTTTTAGTAACAAACTGCTTAACACAGATTTTCAAAAGATTATCACATTTGATATGTAACCTGTGTGCTGTAACACAGCAGTTTAGCATTTTTTTTAGAGTTGGACTGTTTTGCAGCCTAGTCACATGTGGTTCTCAGATACTTGAAATGTGGCTAGTGTGACTGAGAAACTGAATATTTAATTTTCCTTAATTTTAATTAAAATTTAAGAAATCCTGATTCAAGTATTGGAAAACTTTTAAATTGTATGGAAGAACTTGAGTATGTGAACCTACTTCTTTAATTATCTATTTTATGAAGTCTAAGTGTTGCTCAAACATTTCAGAAGAAAATTTAGTTAGGGTTGAGGTACACTATTAGTATAAAATGCATATTGAACTTTGAGGACAATATATTTTAAAGTACAATATCTCATTAAAACTTTTTACATTGATTATATGTTAACATGACCCCATTTTAGATGTATTGGGTTAAATAAAATATATTACTAAAATTAATTGAACACGTTTCTTTTACTTTCTTAATGTGACTACTAGAAAACTTTAGATTGCACGTGTGGTCATGTTATGCTTCTATTGGGCAGTGCTGTTTTAGAATAACAGTGACACCAAGGTTCATTTGTTTATTCAACATATGTATCAGGCACTTTGCTGGCCACTGGGGATTCAATAATGAGCAAGCCACACAAGGCACTTGCTTGCTCTCATGGTGCTTACATTTGGTACTGCAGAAGATAATATACAAGGAGATAAATAAATAAAGCAACATCAGGTAGTGATGTGTTTCAGAGAAAACAGAACAAGGTAATTTGATAATGACTTCTGTGGGCGTGGTTAAATGGAGCAGTGCAGGAAGGCCAAAGGAGGTGGACAATTAAGCTCATTCCTGAAGGATGAGAAGAAAATTGCCATGAAAAGATCAAAGGTACAAACACAGGGAACAGCAGGAGGTGTTGGTTCCATTCCCATTCATGACAGTTTCACCCAAACACCACCACCACCACTAAACCATGATGAATTATAGAAAATATGTTGCTATAAACCATGATAAACGTATAGATATATGTTCCTGGTGAACAGAATTCAAGCTCAATTAAGGCAGGGACTTTTCATCATGATTGTTTACTGATGGATGTCAAGTAATTCAGTATTCAATAAAATACACGAAGGAAAGCTTAATTAGGTAGGTTAGTGAGAGTCCAGCAACATTCCTGTAAAACTGCATCAGCAATAATTCTATATCAACATATTTAGTGCCCGGTATTGTTGGAGAAATGGCACAGTGGAGATTTTCTAGAAACAACCACTAGTTCCTTTAATGATTTTTATAAGCAAGAATAATAGTCATCTACAGAACAGGACCTTTTGTTAACTTGAATAACAATGAAAGAATTAACATGTGAGAGAGTATTTGGGTCTACATGAAGAAAGTTCATGCTATCAGTTGTGTAGGGTAACAAGAGAAGCTTGCCAGAGTTACGTGAAGGGGTGTTGTCTTTAAAAGCAACTCAGTTTATGCTGCAAACTCCTGGGGCATCTTATGGAATGCTAATATTCTTTCTATGCACATGTCCACTAAGTTATGTATCACATAAGGTAGAATTTTTTTCTAGATAATAAGCTGTCCAGAGATTTGAGGCAGATGCCCATACCTCATATTTTATGCATCTGCTGTGCAGCATAACTGAGCAACTGCCTAGTTCCTCCATGAATTATCTCAATTCCTAAGACTTAATCTTGCTACATGGATAACACAGAATGTTCCCTCATTAAGTAACTGTCCCCTTTCACCACAATGTTGATGGAGTGCTATGTGAATACTGTGGCACACAATAAGGAGATTCACTACAAAACAATTTCACTTCATACAACCTTGGGTTCAACACTCTGAAGAATATCCTCCCTTTGTATTAACAAAGAGAATTCAGGTAAAATCAAATTTCTTGAAAACTAGTAGAAATCATACCCTAATTTCATTGTATAAAGCTCACACTGGCAAAGGTTTCCACAAAATTTATTCACAAACTTATATCCAAGGCACTGTGCCAGGTGCAGTGAGGGAATATAATAATAAGACATAATTTCTGCCTCTTTCTAATGATCCAAGTCCTCATTCTAGTTGCTAGCCTGGGAGCAAAAGTGTTTTTAGATGTTTTATTGGACAGTCATTTTAAATACAGCCTCTTTTTTTCCCACAAGAGGCTCTTGCTGCTCTATTTCCTTTTACACTTTCAGCATCTTTTATTAGTATATAATGTGTACAAGATAAGTGGCACCATCATCCTGTCCCCAGTCTTCCTTCATTCTTTACCTCCATCTCCATCCTGAAATTTATCCCATCCATGACTTGAAGTTCTTAGTACCTTATTCATTCACCAAATATTTGCTGAATTATCGCATTAATTAACAAAAGAAATGAGGTATGGGTTTAGACTACATGATCATGCTTAATGACTGTGTATGAGTTTTATCTAACAAAGCCAGGGGCTCAAATCTGTGTTCCACAAATATATAGTGGCA